AAAGTATTGTTGGAAAAATCATTTACCAGAATGTTAAAGACGTAGGAAAAAACTTTCTGCTTTGCAAAAGAGAAATCCCAGCAATCCTTTGCATATTTATAAAGATACATGTTGAAAACACCAGTAGTGAGGTAAGTGTAGTATTCAATTCCTACATATTTCTTATGAATTCAGACAATATTAATTATTATAATCTTGCCATATAAAAGTGAAACATCTACGCTTGTCAACATCACACTGGGAAGATTCTGAAGTTAAATATTTAGAAAAAAGGACACGTAAACAGATGACTGATGGTAACATCAGAGTAGTTGTTTGATGGCTTCAGAATAGTCAGCATTGGAAGTTGTGAAGTAGTAGGAAATTTCAACAGGAAGGTCTAATATGATGGCTATTTATAAAGAATATGTACCATGACTTTAACAATTACAGTTTTCTAATCTTAATATCAGTGCTCTCCAAAACAGGGGAAAGTCATGTGTCATGGGTTAAGCGCCCCTCCCCACCTCAGGGGGCTAAAGTGGTTGGTCCTAGGAGAGTTTCCCCTGAGGGACCAATCGCAGGTCTTTTTTCACTCCTGTGAAATTAGATATCACAATAGCTGGAAGTTGTTGGCAGAGTGTGAGAGTGTCTGAGAGAGAAGCGCAGGGGTGGCCAGGGGCCCCCGAAACCAGGGGGCCCCTGGGCCCCCACGGCCGTGGCTTGGCCAGGGCTGGAGGCAGTGTGTAGGACTGTGTGTTTGTTGTGAGGGAGAGACTTGCAACCACGAGGTGAGAGGAGGGAGGCCTCTGGCCCCCTATGCGGGGGGCCCGGCCCTCTTCCCCCCACCCGGCTACGCTGAGGGAAGCTTGGAACAGTTTATAACTGGACCGAGTACCCATGGCCAAGGCTAGGGGACTCTTTTTCTTCCCCCACTGCCCAGGGAGGTGGTGGCGTGGACTTAAGGCTCGGTACTGGAGTCGAGCTAGGAGACAGGCCAAGAAGGTGGTCCGGAGCCTGGAGAAAGCAGCTGCGATCAGTGCAGAAGCTGGAAGAACTCCAGGCTGAAGGAATTGGAGATGGGCCAAGGAGGCTCGGGGTGGGCCCTAGCGAGGTTTGGTCGAGGGCAGCCAAAAATTGAAAGCTGCGGCAGTTAAGGAAGAGAGGAAGCCAAACGGGCAGGCTTTTTCTGGGTAAGGATTTTTGGTGAAACTCTCTGGGGTAAAAGACTGAGCGAGACCCGGAAGCCTGCAACCTGGAGAGTGAGAACGGAACATCTTACTCTCTGGGGAGGAAACCTTCACAAACCAGGGAGAAAGGATTCAAAAGCTGACTCCTTGGACCTTTTCATGATGAAGACCTGGTGAAGCAAGTGTTTCCCTTGCAGCCCAGGAAGAGACCTCAGCAGGAGCTAAGGGCTGGTGGGGGTGCAAGAGAAGACCCTTTCCCTGATACCCCAATGAGAGAGAGACTTTTAACTATCACCCTGCAAGCTTCTTCTGAACCGATGTGGGAGGGTCCAAGGGGTGGTAGAGATTGTGTTAATATTGTATATATAATTGCTTTTTAGTTTATATAGTATTTATTGCGTATAGTAATAAACTGTATATAATTCCTTTCCCCCATACTGAGGTGTGCCTATCTGAAAACTTCTCTTCGGTGTTGAGGCAAAATGTGGGGGGAGCTTGGAAATTGGATTTTTGGGGTCAAACCCCCACACCATGAAAATATATGAACAGTTAAAAAAAAGAACAAAACCAAAAAACAACTGCCCTCCCATTTAAAATTAGAATGAAAAAATCCTTTTATATATATATATGCTAGAAAAGAATGAAGTAAAATTACAATAACTTTGAATGTAATGTGTATTTTCTTAATTTGACATAATGATCAAAGACATTGTAACATTCAGGTAATGATTGTTTGCTAACACAAACAAGGGAAATTTTGTTTACCATTTAATAATCGCAGTTCTAATTCTATGAATACAGTTGTCATTTGTTTCCTGGGGACTAAATCCTGGTACAGAAGACAAGGCACGTTGTTCCTCTGGGAGTGGCCTGAAATCTCTCAGGACTCTTAAAGCATTGAGGCCTCTACGAGCTTTGTCAAGATTTGAAGGGATAAAGGTAAAGATATTGGGGGTCGGTGTGAATATTTTGTAATGGCTGCATTTAAAGATTTTTTTTGAAAATGACAACATAAAAT